CTTTGGGATGGTTTTAGTTGCTGCCTCCTGTACAATGTTACGAGCCTCCATCCATAGTTCTTCAGGCACTCGGTCTACCAAATCTAATCCCCTAAATCTAGTCTTCACCTTCACTGTGTAGTCACAAGGAATATGATTGAAGTAATACCTGAGTGTTCTAGTGGTTTAGTGGTTTTCCCTATGTTGATCTAACTCTAAAGGAAACCAAACTCAACTGGTGTGCGTTTTTCAAATTCTGAAAAGAATTGGAGCATGTAGCAGCATAAAAGCTGAGGTACCTGGAGACAAAGTTCATAGACCCACTTATATTTCTATGTTAAAATTGAATTCCCTCCAATTTTAGAGGGGGGCTTCATTCCATTTAGCATACAGTATTATACAGTAACACACTGTCCATGTACCAGCACTATATGGAGGAAATAAACTCTTTATTAATTCATTAATCACTAAATTTGTATCCCATCTTTCGGTTTATTCCAACACTTAAAATTGTACAAAAATAAAATCTAAATTTTTTAAAATTAAACATTTGAAAGGATAATAACATGTCCTGTAGAGAGGTTCCACCAGGTAAAGTCTTCAGCACCTGATTGTGCAAAGAGCTTAGACTCGCCCAGAATTGATTGGAGGTGGTTGATGTCTAAGTCAAATAAAACAAATAAACAAGTTATGATAAAGTTAATTACTGTGAGGAACTGGTTTCCTGTCAGGCAGCTGTGCTTGGACTATCTTCGGTTGCACTTGGCTGTATATTAAGAATGTAAGTGCTTTGGCAGTGGAAGAGCTCTGTTTAGTTTCATACAGCTAACTGTGCATGGAAGAATTATTGCACACTCAAGGTCACTTATGACTTCCCATTATATAATGTGAATAGTGTCATTTGAAATCTTACATGGCAGTTTAGCTTGCAAGAGCCAGGCGGGTAAAGTCTCCATAACAGCATTTAACTTTATTTCTCAATTGTAATGGCATTCTATAGCTATGAAATATTCAGAGGACTGCTTCTCTTGGTTGACTCTCCAGTGAACCCCAAAACAAGTAATCCAATCTAATAATGAATTGAGAGTTCTGCAAAACTCCATTTGATGTTAATACAACTTTCCAGTAATGAATAATGACAGGACTGTTCATTTTGAAAGGCAAGAGTCATTTCACCAAAGATTCTGTTGGAATTTTTCATTTGATCAAGTTTCTGCTTGTGCATTAGTAGAAAAATGAAAAGATGGGGTCTCATATAGGCTTATTGGTAGCAAGAAGTTTGATAACCAAAGAAAATGTAAGGTCTAGGCAATAAATTGTACGGATAGGCAATAAATGGATAAGAGGTATCATTTCATATATTTTTTGGTTAGAGCTGTTCTGAACTGTTCCTCAGCCACATGACTACCAGATCTGGGCTAAAAAAAATCAGGTAACTTAGAAGTAGCAGAAAAGAGTTTCTGAGTCTTTTTTCTTCTAACTCTTGGTCATCTGAATTATTGAAGCCTAGATCTGGTACCCTACAGCCATCACATTAAGTTTGAAAATGATGCTATTGTTGGGGCTATGTCAAATGAAATTATTTAAAGAGAAAAAAAAGTCAGAGTGGTTGTCATGTTGTTAGAAAGCTCTCTGATCTAAGGTGCTTTTTGAATGCTAGGAATTAAAAATGTCTGTCACTGTAGCAGAGTGATTTCTTTACTCACTTACCCTTATAGTGAATATTTTCCATTATAGTGGATAACTGATTCATATTTATAAATGCTTCAACAGACCATGTGGAATATTTGTCCAGCTGTTCATGTTATTAGGACTGCTAGATCTTAGTGGCAAAATTCTACATAACCACTAGATAGCAGCAAAGAGCTAGATATTTCTTTATCTTTTTGTGTCTGTCTATTGGCCATTTGGAATTTTGCAGCCAGTCCAGTGTTCAAATACTTCCTCAAATAACTAAACCAGTTGTGTTTAAAGGACACAGTCTTCCATTAAGTGCAACCATACAGCTATCAGAGAAAACATTTTAATGCTTGGATTTCTTTTCTTTTCTTTCTTCTAATAACATATCCTTGTGAATGTAAAAAGCATCCCAGAGCCGAGAGGGATATTCTACAAGTATGGTTTTGGTGGGCTCCAAAAAGGTCAAAAAATGTCAGAGAAACAAAGTTGTGTGTGTGTGTGTGTGTGTGTGTGTGTATGTGTATGGCATAATTTCATGTCATCGTTTCATTATATCATTTGTACTGTTTAAAACAATTCACAAACATTTGGTTAAATCTGTTTTCCTCTATAAACCAGCCATCAGCTCTAAGGTGCTCTGGAAGAAAAGGATTACCTCCTACTGAAGCTGTAGGAGTCTGGAAGGGGAGAAACAGATGGGACTCAACCTGAGCAAGAGGAAATTGCTCTGAGTTTAGAAGCTGACTATTTCTCAGCAATAGCAGCTTAAAGTCCTGGATGGGTTTTGATCCCCTAAAAACAGCTGGTACACAGTCTGGAGATGCCCCTAGACTCTCAGTTCCTGCTGGAATTGTGGTCAGGAGGGCCTTCACCCAGCTTTGGATGGACTACCAGTTATGGATGTTTCAGGAGCAGTCATTCATGCTCTCATCACTTCATGAAGTTACCACTATAACTACCACTATATAATAGGAACTAGTGCCAAATGCAATGACCTGCATATTAACAAGAACAACCTGGTGTTGTGATGTAACTCTTCAGTACTATGGGAGATATATTGGTTGCTGTTTGTTTCCAGGTACAATTCAAGGTGATGATTATAACCTGAGGCTTATTACCTGCAAAGCCACTTATGTTAAATAGAATCTATCTACTCAAGATATGCCTGAAGAAAAGGCTTGCTGAAAGTGGCCATGCCCCACAAGGTACGAGAGACAAGCATTCTCCATAGGACTCCCTTTCTGTGGAAAGTCCTCCCACCAAATGTAAGACCAACACTCTCACTTCTGACATTTAGAAAGCTCTCGGACACTTGTCTTTTTAAAAGAACATTTGGGGACTGAAGCACACATAATGCAATGGTATGTGGGATGTGCAAGGTTCTGGCATTGTATTTTTATGATGAATGGTTATGATTTGAATCAATCTGATATGGTGATTATATGATTATTATTATGAGTTTATGATTTTTATATTATTGATTGTACTATGATGGTTACTGTGAGCTACTTAGAGTCAGAATTGATTAAAGTGGCATAAAATCAGGTGTAATAAATACATGACAATAAATAAGTAAAATAAATTAAGTAAATATGATTGAAATGCCAGAAAATATAGTTGTAGCACTGTCACTTATGTAGACTAGATCAAAACACATCTAAGAATCTCTGAGTTCTATCATAACTTTTTACCCTAAGAAAACTTTCAAGACAGCATTGATACAGAAGACACATGAGAGTTTTAATAATAAAAATACTACAATCTTTGATGGTGCTTCTTTGTGCCCACTGGCAATGTCCATTCCATTTCTGGGCACAATTCAAAATGCTGATTATGACCTAGGAAATACTTAATGCATTGTGATCAGGTTCTTTGAAAGGCCATATGTTCTCATATGAACCCATTCAGATTTTATGATCTTTAAGATCTTGCCAGCTCTCCTGGAGGTATATTGGACAGAAACATGAAAGAGAATTTGCTTGGTTGTACCTCCCAATCTATGCAATTCCTCAGTAGAAAGTCTAGTGGGTTTCATCTCTGTTATCCTTCTGCTATGAGATAAAGTTATTTTGTTCGGGTTGGTTTTTAGCATCAAGCTGAATTGACATTGTATAGATTTTAATCTGGTAGATGTTTTTATTTATTTTATTGATGCATTCCTATTAACTTCTAGTTTGTTCAATCTTTTATTTTAACTGGAAATGCAAAATACAAATTGAATAAATATTTTTTTCTCCCTCATTATTGCTATCTCATGTGTGGTCTTTAATCTCTCTTTTTATCCAAATGTCTATTGTAGAAAAGTACTAGAGTTTGGAAGGCCTGCTTAAGCTTTGGGACCAGGAAGAACTGTATTTCAGTAAGACTGGCAAGTGGGATTCCTGGTCCAAATGAAGCTGCTCCTGCTTTCCTTGTGGCTTGAAGTGAACTTGTTGGGCAAAAGGTAGCGTTATTCCTGATGGGTGGGCCCAACGAACTCACAGGTTGGAGTGAAAGAAAACTTTTTATTGAAGTACTTCATCAAAAAGGACCCCTGCCTGTAAAGGAGCAAGAGCCCCGCGCCTCGAGTGGCAAAGTCTTTTATTTACCACTAAGAGTAACAAAATTACAAACTTTCTGTCAGTCACAACACCGCGCAGTCGCAATAACCACCTGTTACATAACAACACCTCATTACTTCCTTATCTTATCAAGGTATTCATCCTAGGGTGGGGAATTACCTCACTAGGGGAGGGAAACTTACTATTATAATGAGCTAAGGGTCAGGAAAGTTCAGCTACTCTCATCTACACGCACATGTCCTTGAGACAATCCCTTTCTACCTCCCTCAAACTGGTATCATCTGGTTTTTCCCGCCTAACTTGAGATACTTTCAACACGCTTTCAATTTACCTCACAATATTCACACCTGCACAAAATCCATCCTTTCCTGAATCCTTGCCATCAAACTGCACTCTGATCTTGCTAAAATAACACTTTTCACAGTATTTTGGTCACCAAAGTTGCTCTTGTTGGCTTGCAATTGCACAAAAGCTGGGAGGCAATGTCTTCTTTTTGCTTTTGGCACAGTATTTGCAAAATTCTGTAATCAGCAGCTGTACAGGCTCACAGATATGATAGTTATATTTCTGATTTTTATGAAGGAGAAATGCTTCCACCTGCAACTGTAGTCTAACAGAGTGAGTGTGTGTGTGGAATATAGTCCCCCCCAGCTCTCATCAAAATGTAGTGGCAGTTGATAGTCAAGCCTTTGTAACGCTGATTTAAAGAAATTATCTTCCTTTCCCTTCCTTCCTGAATGACATGTGAGCTCTTGTTTCGATGCACTAAGGGTCAGCTGTGCTGCAGTGCAATGAGGTAATAAATGCAAAGCAGAAGATGGAGTGCCCTGCCCTGTACACTCCCCTCAGTCTTTTCGACACAGACTGACTAGAGGACATGCAAAGACTGTTAAGTAGTTAACTTGATGAAAAAAGTGCAACTGCAATGAATAACTTGTCCTTCAGTGAACAACTCTTTGGGCTGCTTAATTACAGGCCTGTAGTAATATCCATGTTAAAAAGAAAATGTTGCAAGCTGAGCTGGTTTAACTGATTTGAATAGCAATTCAGTTCAGTTATTTGAATATTCATAAGCTTTCTTTCAGTTCAAATACAAACCTAAGGTGTAGGACAATGTGCATATATGGATCAGTAACAGCAAAAAACCAAATTAATAGCAGAGCTGTCATTAAAAGCTCAGAAACTGGTGTTAATGCTACCTTAAAACCATCAAAACACCAAGTCATTCAGTTTCAACGCTAACATCACCTAACTGCACTAGTGATGTTGCTTAAAGGTTTTCTTTAAAATTAGAGAAAGAGGCAATCTCCTGTAGGGTTTGATGTTTATTTTCTGCTAATGGTGGGACTGTGGTGAATTTGTCTGTTGATAGACTTCTGTGGTTGTTATCAGGTAGGGTTTCTAGGCAGTTCTTTTCTTTGCTACTTAGCCAGTGAAAGGAAGAAAAGGGAGACAGCAAAGCAAAATGAATCACTGCCCTTCAATAGGCTATTTGGAACAGTTGACATTAAAATAAATGTCATATCAATAGTATAATCAAGGCACATTAGATTGTGACCTTAACGCCTTCCCTTTCTTGCTTTATGTCTCATTACTTAAACAAATCTGCCCTACTATTCTCCCAGTCCTGACTTTCAAAATCCTGCTTTCCCCTGTTAAATTTGGACATGGGTTCCTTTTGCATGCTAAGCATACAATAAATACAGATTTCTAATTTGACTGTAATAGATGAGCAAATATGCAAAATGCCCATTTCTGTTCTCATGCAATTCCAGCCATGGAGATAACTTGAAAGACCATGTTTTAAGCAAACCAATTCCCCACCTTTCTCATGCTGAATTCAATTTAAATAATTTCAAATGTGAAGATCTGCTCTGTTTTTTGCCTCTTAGCTTTGATGGCATTTTCTTTCCTACAGGAGTGCTCAGAGGTTTGTTCTTGAGGGGAATTAAAAACAAAACAAAAAAAAAACAGGACACCAATCCTGGTGTTTGCTTTAGATCGCTAATTATTGCAACATTTTCTCTCCCCTCCCCACTGAAGATGAGACATATTTTAATTGCTGTAAGAAAGTTTTGTCTTGATTAGATGGGAGGTTTCAGCACCTCTCTAAGAGACCTAAATGAAAACTTCTAACTTTTTTCTTTGTTCTCCCTTTTGGTTCTTTTTTCTTCCTGCACATCTGTGCAACTGAAGCAGAGGAACTAAAGGGGAAACAGGAGAAGAACAGGTTGCATGCTGAAAACTTGACAAAGAAGCCTGTGTACTGTGCCTCTGCTGAATTGCCAGTTCCCTTGCGTCTGATGCCAGATGGTGTGCCACACGGCAAAATTCTTAACAACCTGCGTGTCAGGTAGGCATACTGATATGAGCAGATTGTTTCTGCTTTTATGCACAGGCTTGGAAAATAATCTCAAGTGAGGAATGGATCTGGATGTACACTTTCATTGGCATACTATGGAGATTTTCCTCTCTGTCGAAAGCCACCCCCTACTTGCATTATGTTTAAAAGGTAACATTTTGAGAAGCCATGACGTGGCAAAGATGATAATGACCAGCTCATTCACAACTAAAAATAATAATAGCAGTTGTATTGCAACTTTGATTGTGACTATGGTTATCCAGAGAGTATATTTAACTCTGTTTTGTCTGAGAAGATCTGTATTTGTAGTTTTACTTATGGATACTTCTCTACATTTTTGTTCACTGTGAGAAAGCAGAGTTTATGAACAGGGAGATCTTTTTTCTGTGAGTAACGATTTTATCAGACAATACTGTGAATGTCATACATGAGGGGTGAAAACTACAGTTGCAATGATGCTTTTCCTCCCACATTTTCTTTGTATGACAGAAATCAATATTAAGGGATTTGTGGGTACCAAGATAATCAGGGCTAATTCTCATGAGAACAAATATTTCTGTAAAAGGTTGATGTTCTCATATATATTCCCATGGTATTATGTTAGATTATGCATGTGAGATCATTGAAATATTAGTTTGGCAACCTTGCAAGATTTGGGCCTTTTTTTTGAGGACAAGTGTCTGATGCCTGAAACCTGAGAAGCTTGCCAACACCTGTTATACATACATTAAATCATTTAGAAAGAAGCAGTGATGTACATAGGTGGAATTGGGAAACAGAGAGATAAAGAGGACATCCCAGGATCTAAATTATAAAAGATGATGTGATCTAGGTTGACCCTTTGTAGGAGGCACTCTCCTAAGCAGCATTCAAGCAGAGGTTTCTACAGAAGACGGGCCTGGCAGAGCATGAATCTTTCATTGCTAATTCCAGATATGAAGCTATGCGTCCATCCTCAAAACTAGATGTCATTGCCCTCTGATGCTGAAAGCACAAGAGAACCTTCCACTTATAATCTGCAAAGGAGCCATAGGAAACACTCCAACTCTGGCTTGCATATGCTATGGTATAAAAGGCAAGCTTGAACACATCTAAATGGGCTTCATTCAGATCTCTCTCAGACAAATTAAGCCATTCAATAAGTGCAGACCAGCAGGGGTATCTGCAAGTAGGGCAGTCAAAAAAGTCAAGATGGTGTCAGTGACCACAAGATCAAGGACCTGGCCCTTTTTTATGCACGCTGCACACACAACACATGTATGAATGACGGCTAAGACGTCATTCACATTGTTACTGCTTGGTTGTTATGGCCATATTGACCTGCCCCTGTGGCTGCCCCTGCAGACTAGTGCTGGAGCAACAAGCCTGGATTATTACTGGATCATACAATTAACAACAACTGGCTAGAATATCCCCACAGTCTGGAAGAGGAAAGAAACACACAGAAACTTCTCAAATGCTTTTTCTTTCTTTTGTGAATTAAGTTGAAACATGTGTTTATTTGTTCAGATAAGCATTAATATGGGAACTACCATCCCAATATTTTTTTAAATAGAAAACACAAGGCAGATGTTTGCTACATATGCTTTGCAAAACAACACTAGTGAAGACTAAGTATATGGAGAAAACTGTGTCTCCAATTCACTGCTGTATCCCTTGCTTATTAAAAATGGAAATCTTGTACTAGAAACTTGAGAATCAAATTTCCTGTACTACACAGGGAAAAGAATGATCAGGTTAGACTTAAGATAACTGAGTGGGAAAGTTCAGAAGGTCCAAGAATGATTGACAGTGATAGATATTTCTCTCCACTATGATGGCACCTGAGCAATTTCTTAGCTCACAGTAAATATGGGTCATGAAGGAGACTGCTTTTGTCTTATTATCTACTGATAGGTTAATGGACCTAACTCTCCTGAGAACAAGATGCTATATTTAGATAAGCTGTTCCATTCATAAACATGTTTTGTTATAGCAGCTTATTTTTAGCAGCTGGGCAAGAACATTTACAAGGGTTTATTGAAAAAGCAAAGCTGGGGAGAATTAAATGCTCATGTTCAATTGTTTCAGTAAATGCTGTTTATTTATCCATTATTTAAAAAGAATTCAGTCTTATGTCCACATAATTAACTCAGTCTGACCAAAATGACCTGATTATCCGTCCGATTGTTGTACAAGACTAGAACTAGGGAAACCAGGTTCAAATTTATTCTCAGCCTTTGATCCAGACATTATATCTCAGCCCAGCCCAACATACATCACAGGATGTTGTTGGAAAATAATGGGAAGAGGGATGTAATGTAGCCTTTAGCTTCAAGAGGAAAAGTTGTATATAAATTTAGCAATAATAATAATAATAATAATAATAATAATAATAATAATTTATAGAGATTTGTAGTTCCAAGATGGTTAATAAGCCCCAAATATAACCCAATAAGCATAAAATAATTTTGTAGTGCTTACCTGCCTTGCATGGTGAAATTGCACAGCAACAGAGATGGGGAGAACATCCATGCTGGCTGAATCAAACTACTATTAGTCCTGGATATCTCTTAAGACCAATGAGCAGATATAAAATGCTACCTTACTTTGCCCATAGTGCAGGTTTTTGCATCCAATGAAACTATAGCCAAAGTGAGACAGAATAAGTATCAGAACATTCATAACAAGGTTCAGTACAAACAACAAAATAAACTTCTTAGTTCATACTGATCTTATAGAACTGGACTACTGTAATGTGTTGGCTATGATTTTAATTCTACATTCATTGTAGAAACAGTAACATACTTTTCATTTTATATGCAACTTTCCCCTTTCTGAGATGCATTGGACTGAAACTTGCAGAATCCCCAGAGATTCTGACAGTTACAGTCAAACACAATCCAGAAGGCTGATGTAATTCAACCTTCTTTCTCCATTTTCTGCCTGCCTTTTTCTTACATGTACCCACATTTTGTGAGAAGTTCTGTAAACATTTCATGAAGTATATGGAAGAAAAATGGAAGTAGGAAGCAGGGTTAAACAAATGCTAAATTTACCATGGAAAGCCTAGAGAAGATCACAGTTTATGTAAGAAAAATGATTGTAGCAATATAATTACTCTTTCGGTTATTTGCAAAATGGCAGCTCTGTATCAGATTTCTTGCTACCATTTTCCAGAATTTATTCTGAAAGTACAAACTGTAGTCCCGTCATATTTGATTTACTGTTGTAAATTAACAAGAAGAGAAGGAGAATTAATAGGTCTGACACTACCCAGACAAACAGCAATGAAATAGATAATGTTATAGGTTATAGTGTATGCAGGTGATATATTATTTAATAACAAAAAACTTTTCTACATTTTCATGCAGTTGTTGAAAATGTAAATAGCTAAAGCAAATCAAGAAAATTGAGTAATTGAACTTTATTATATTAGTCCTAGTGGTGCCTATCTTTTATCTAAAGGAGTAACATTTGTCAAAAATAATGTCAGAGTAATATAACGAATGTCCTCCAGCAGCATAGAATGGCAACAAATATAACCTCTTCTGTCTCTGGACTATATACAGATAATCCAAATGTTGCATGAAATGGAAGCCCAAGGCTAATATCCAACATTTTTATATTGATTCAAATGTATTTAGACATATAGTAGTATTTGGATCAGTTTTTCAGTGTAGAACAAAAGTTGATAAACAGGAAGAAATTCAGGTTCCTAGGGACATCTAGATTGAAATCTAAACTTGATAAAGGATCATGATTTCTCCCACTCCCATTCAGGGAATAGCAGTAAGGAGCCAGTGAATGCTACAGTCTACCCAAACAAGTTGCTTTCATTTCCTGGTGCTGGGATGGTGTCTCTGCTGTGTCTAGAGGAGAGCCCTAGGTCATCCATCTCCTGGCTCTTGTTTCTCCACTATAATTCCTTGTTAGCTTAAAGGAGATATGACAGTGGCGAAAAGACTCCAAATGCAGTGACTTTGTATACCAATTTCAATACTTTGGAAGGGGATGTATATAAACATGAGCAAATGGGGTCAGTTTATTTATTTTCATTTTATTTCTTTGAATAATGGGGAGAAGTATTTTAACATGAATCTGGATGACAGAGCCATACAACTAGTAACTGACTTAATAGTCAGGCATTGACTAACTGCATTTCTTTATGCTCAGCTATTGGTGTTATTTGGTGGTGGTGGTTATTAATAATAATTTAAAGTTATTATAGCTGCCCTCCCATAGACTCTGGTTGGCAGTTCTCAGCATGTTAAACTTATTTCAACAACCTTGTAGTGTCCTGTGGTGGACAAATAATATTCTATCATTTCCATATGGTTCTGAAATGTGTATTAGACAGAACAGATAAACTGAAACAGTTTGATGACCCTAAAAGGAAAGGAGACAGATAAGAGGAATCAGATTGTTACCCTTTCCCTGGTGTGAAGGGAAACACTGCATGGGTACCATAAAGGATACTGTTTATGTTAGAAGGTGCTAGTATCAGTAGAAGAGGGTGGGTTTAGGAATTGTAGGAATGTAGGAGTATGGAATTTAGAGGCATTGGGTCAGATCATATTGATATTATCACATAGTACAGGTAGTCATCACTTACTGACTGCCTCATTCAGTGACCATTCGAAGTTATGACAGTGCTCTCCCTTAGTCACATGATCACCATTATAGTCAGTATGCCTTGTCTGTTGTCTTTCTTTTTTTCCCCTCTCACAGAGTAGAGAGATTGGAGAGAAAGGGATTACAAGAGAGTAAGCAGGCACACAATGGGGAATATACATATAGCTGTTTGCATAGTACGGTAGTGGCTGTCAGCACCAGCACATTGCTTTTGATGTGTATTCGCCATTGTGTGCCTGCTTACTCTCTTGTAATCCCTTCCTCTCCAATAAATGTAAATGCAAACATTGTTGTTAATTATACTTCTTGTTAATTATCCTAACACCAGGGTGAGCATTCCAAAGAGTGGGGGAGTGGTTAGGAGGCAAACAAAAGCAAAAGGTGTGAAACTGAATAGTCTTATCAGTTTCGAGCTAGAAAGTACAGTCATGGTCATGTGATTTCCCACTTAGTGACCGCTTCACTTAGCAATGGAGTTGCTGGCCCCAATTGTGATTGCTAAACTAGGACTACCTATATTATCAAATTTTACATTCCATCTGTAAAGGTCATAGTATGATTTACATTGCTTTCTCTATCATTCTTATGCAACAGTTCTGGGGATGTATAGCCTATAACCTTGCTTAGTTCAGGGCTCTTTTGCATTCCTGTGGCCAAAAGCTCAGTGATCACTGTACTTGTGCATGCCAATAAAAGATACTTTGTTGTATCTACTTCCAGTCACTTAAGTGGGCATTTTTCACCATAAATTCTGCAGATGACCTTTCCCATCTCCAGCCTTCTGATACAATTCAAAACCCATTTGATATTGTTCAAGGTTGTTCTAAACATTCTATAGCTTTTTAGAAATTGGAGTGTTGGGGGAAAAATGCCTACTTAAATTATTCAGGCCAAGATTGATTGATTGATTGATACACTCTCTGTCTCTCTCTCTCTCTCTCTCCTGTATATATTATCCATAATGACAACTTAAAGATAAAAGGATGACAGCTGGTTAAATTTATGAAGTAAGGTAAATGGGGAGAAATAGAAGGAGAAATGTTTAGTAGACATGTAGAACATAACATTTCTGCAACAGTCAACAATTATTCCATTTATTACTAGTATCAGTTTATTTATTCCTAATATCAATAGCTTCCAGAATAAAAAGGAGGCACAGATCATTACATGGCTTAGCATGAGAGATGAAATAATTGCTCATTGTTTGATAAAGAAGTTCACCAGCTTTTCCCATCGTACTAGTTTCAATGGATCAGTACAACTGAAAATTACAATTGGAGCTGAGAACTATACTCCTAACTATTAATCCATTTTTTTGTGGATCACTGCAATTGGGAACTATTATTCCAAAGCACCCATGTGGATAAATATAATTAAATTTGATTTAATTTCATTTCTATTTAAAATAAATTGAAGTTGTAATATAGTTTGAAAGGAAATATTTTATTTTCTTTCTGTTACATTAAACAAGTATAATTTAGTAGCAATTTTGGAGGTCTCTAAGTTATCCAAGACCTTCTTGTGCTCCATGAGATTCTGGGGTCTCATACTTTATCACATGTTATAATGACTAAACAATATGCTGCTGGTCTGAACGGTGCTGTTTAACAACATTTTACAGTATTAAAGCAATTAAAGCATAGGGATATATAAAGATTCTGTTTGTTCATTTGATACTGACTTTCTCTACCCCGGTGACTCTGACAGTGAAGTAAGATAGAGATTCACTCAGAAATTGAGGTTGATTACATGATTTAAAAACTTAAATGTATAAATGATCCCCCTCCCCGCCAATTTTGGGATGGATGGAAATAGATTATCCAAGGTCATGAAGGACACATTGCATTTATTAGGTTTTTATCACATCTTCGTTTTGTATAAGTCAAGACAACATACATAATACTCCCTGCTCCTATTTTCCCCACAAAAATAAATCTGAGAGGTGGATTGGGCTGAGAGAGAGTGACTGGTTCAAGGTTACCCAGCTGGCTTCTGTGCCAAAAAGAGAACTAGAATTCACAGTCTTCTGGTTTCTAATCCAGCACCTTATCCAAACTGTTTTTTGTGTTACATACTGATACATATTAATTCTTCTAGTAATGAACTTAATCCCCAATGCTGACAGGTTTGAAAAGGTGACTGAAATGTAAAGGGGTGGGGTGACTTCTGGAGGAGGTATGGTGAACTGAAGATGTCTCCAAGAAAGTGGAGCCAATGACCACGGCAAAGACCAAGGACCCAGTGAGTAGACCAGTTCCTTGTAACCTCTCTGGATAACGAGAGGATGAGAGATCACCCTCATGTGCTCTGAATGGCTGCTCCTCGCAAGGAGACTGCAGGACAGTGGTTTTCCATGGGTTTGAGCACTGGGAGATGAAGGGATCAGCCACCTTGCTCGCAACTGCAGTGGAGCCTTTTAAAGGACACTAAGTTTGCAAGACTCACTTTCTAATCACTTTTGTAAATTGCCTATTAACCATCTTAAAGCTATTAGAGACCTTCAGAATAACAAGCTTGAAAAGTCATTGGGTGAGTTTATCTTCAACTCTGAACAAAAGAAAAAATAATTACAAGCTTCAGAACTTAAAGAATTTAAAATAAACAGCAAAAAGCTAAATAAGATTTTGATTTAAGAAAGTTATGAAAGGATTAATGGTTCAGATAAATTTGGAATATTGACTTTTACTGTAAGATTTTGGAATTAACTGTAAAAAATAAATAGCTTTTTGTGGGAAACAGACTTATTTTGGCTATTGTAAGTCACATCAAAGATGATGTCACATGTGATGTAAGTCACATCAAGGATGATTTTAGAAACTGGATACTAAAAGGGACTAAAGATTCTAAACAAAAAAAAAAATGCAAGCCTGTTTTTGATGTCAGTTAATACTGGGACTTACAAAATGACACAAAAATGTTATAACATTGGAAACATTACAGGAGATCTTTGACGAATGGAGCCAGAAATTAGTAACTACAATATCAACAGCATCAGTAATGATGTCTGCT